TAGATTATAATATGTGTATATAAATATATTTTATTATTATTAAAATAAATCGAAGATCTCCAGAGTTTAATATAGTAGCCTTCGCTCCGGAATCTTTTAACGATGACGGAGGTCCTCCAGAGATCTATGCCCGAAGATCTTCAGAGATCTTTACTAAAAAATTTCCTGATGTTAATTCAAAAAACCAAACTTTATATTAATATTATTTATATTATTAACTTGAAGCACTAGCAATATATACAATATCTACTTTTTAATATTATTTAGTACAATATATTGTGTTATAAAAAACCAAAAATTTTAACCTATGGGTCTATAGCTCAGTGGTAAAACTCCATAGGTCACCAGGTGAAGGTCTAGGGTTCAACCCTACCTGATTACAAAAATTTATCATCTTCATAATTGGTTGATCGGCTTCCAATTCATGTCATACCCAATCAGACACAAATCATCTTCCAAAAATTAGTTAGGCTGTATAAAGATGGAACCTCTGGTCTTCCTGACGATCGCAGGCTGAAAACAGGTCGAAGCAAGGAAGGTTGCATAAGGAAAGGCTTCTGGTCTAACTCCAGTAAAAAGCCTATTCTAACCCAAACTGGCGATGGCAGACTCCATCACACAATTCCCAAAAAAGATGTTAATTCTAAGCCATTCTATCCCAATATGGAGCTTGTAGATCTATCCCAATGGTGGCATTCTATGGAACTTAATCATATAACCGAAGGGCAAGGTATCAGCTACAGGTGGTGAGAATACTAGACAAAAATTGTTAAGCCAAGTGCGTCTAGTGAGGACCTACAAGATTAAATCGGAATCCAAGCAAGGATGCCAGTTCCACAGATAGTGAAAACAGTAATACTATGTTATGCTAGTGGTACATCCCAAGGATCGGTAATAACAGTGACTGGAATACTGGAGTTAATCTCTATAATAATATTCCATAACGTGCCATACCCACGACGGATGCAGTCATGACAGGACCTAATAGGAAGGTGGTTTAAACTAGTGGTAGGATTTCCACCTCTATATAAGTCCCACCTGGCATGTGGATCATCTACTTGATGTTTAAAATTCCATATAGCTGGGTATGTCATAGTTGGTCTAGGGGAAACTGGGGTTACTGGAAACAATGATCATAGGTAGTATTAACTTGCATTTAGAATAGCAATAGCCTACTTTGTAAAGATGTTTGATATAATGATGATAAACTTATGTTTAATAAATGTCTCACATCTAATGCCCTTAGCCAATTAAATAAAAAAAAAAATATTATAAATTTATTAATAAATTAATATATTATATTTAAAAATTTATAAAAAACTTTTTTTATTAATTTATTTGTTAATTCAAAAAACAAATATAGTCAAATCTGCGCATAATGAAGCTATTGGGCTAATTAATAAAAATTTATAGAATAAAATGCTCTTTTTATAATAAATTTTGAGTAAATTCAAAATTTAAAAATTCTTTATAACCAGCATTTTATTATAGTTTTGTTATAAACAGATTTGTCATATTCAGATTTGACTGTATTTTCAAAAAAATATTTCATTTTTTGTTAATAAAATTTATATACTTTTTTTAATACTTTAATTTTAAAGTTTAATATCTTTTTTACTTGTTTATTATTTTTTTTCAAAAAAACATATATATATATTTTAATAATAAAATAAACAAAATTTTATTTATTTAATTTATAATAAGAATATCTTATTGAAAAAAAACTTGTTAAAAAAATATTATTCATTATATTTTTTTTAAATCAGAGATTTTAAAAAGTGAACTATTAATAAATATATTTTCTATATTTTATAGGAATATTAAATCTATCATAAGTAAATATCTTTAACTAAAGTAAATAAATAAGTCAATAGTATTTATTTACTTATATATATAATCTTTTTTATTAATTATATATACTGAATTTATAATAATACTTTTATATATATTAATAAATTTTTGATTTTTTAAAAAATTTTATCTATTTCAGTTTGATTCTAAAAATTTTTTTATATTAGAAATTCCAATTAATAATTAACTAAAATTTTGAACTGGTTAAATATAACAGAAATAGAAATAAAACATACTTTTTATATATTTTATATTATATAACACTATAATTAATAATATAATTAAATAAAGTAAAAAAGTAAAATATCAAGATGTTCTTTTGTTAAAAGTAATTTAAAATCTTTTTTTTTTTCTTTTTGAACTAATTTCTTTTTTTTAAAAAATCAAAAAAGATTTTTATTAAATTGGTAATTAATTTAGTAGAATTTTTATTTACCAGTACAAATTTTTATTCTTTTTTTTTCTTTTAGAACTACAAGATTGTGTTGAAATAACAATTTGTATATAGACTAACTTTGATTTTTCAAAACTAATATTATGATATTTGACTTTGATAAAAAACAACTTTATTATTTTTCACAATTACATCTAAAGAGTTAGTTATGATTTAAAAAATCTAAAATAATTAATATCATGCAGTAATAACTTAATAAACCAACTCTCTTATAATAAGATAATTAGTAAATAGCTAGATTATATGAACAATATGGTAATCTTGATATTAAGAATTCAAACATAATTTAGCTTTAATATAAAATCTCAATGTATTAAATTCTGTACTATTGTTTTTTTAAAAAATTAATAAACACAGCAGTACACGGTTTGATTAAAGGAAAATTAAATTATTTTTACTTTAAAAAAAAATTATTTAACTTATAAATAATTAAGCTAAAAATTATTAATTATTTTTAATGCGTAGATATTTTTGTAAATATATTTTTTACAATGAAATTTTCTATCAACATCATAATATTGCATATATGGAACTGAGAATCTAACCTATAATAACGAATTTATTACCTTAAAAAATAAATCAATACTTTATTCCATTTGTATTTTTCTATACAGAGGTGTAAGTAAGGTTGAATAATGACTACGTAATATTTAGGACTAACTGACGTTTTAGTGAGCACGACGAGATTCTGCAATGATATTGCTAAGTTCTTCGACCTTTCTCTTTGCACGGGTAAAGGTGCCAAGCTTTGATCAATAAAAAATTTTAGAATTCAAATCGAAAAAATCCTATGGACAAAAAGGACATAATGATAATATACTCTTTTTTTAGCCAACTTTCTTGCACGTTTATCTTTAGAGTTTTTCAGCAGTTCCATTACACGTTTCTCGTAAGGAGCATAGCCAGCAACTTCACGAATTATGTCGCGAACGAATTTCACTCGATAAGTGCTAGCCTGATGTAATAAGTTTAACGTTTGGTTAGGATAAATCAAAAGATAACCATTTACACTGATTTTATAAATACAAACCCCCTTTCTTCGGGAAGGTTTAGCACGAGGTTCGCGAGGAGTTATTTTATGACCTTTATTTAAGCCAACAATAAGACCAGACTTTTGTTCTTTAACCATTTTTAATAAAATAAGAACTAACGAGATTTACAAAAAAAAAATTTTTCTTTTTTTAATATTGCAATTGTCATGTGACGACCATACATGATCAGCATTATTATACTTAGCATTTATATTAATTTCTTCTGTTGTAAATTAAATAAGTATTTTTTTTGAAATGTATATTATATAATAATATATAAATAAATAAAAAAATAATATTTATTCTTATAATCAAACAAGTATTATATTTATTTAATATTAAAATTGATAATATAATAATATAACATTTATATATGGGTAATTATTTTTGAAGGCATCAAAAATGCTAGATATGATTTTTTCGGACCCAACTTTTAAACAATACA